TCCAGAAGAAATGCTCAGAAACACGGAATTTGCCATGTTTTCTTAATGACATCACTGCCCTGCAAGATTGCTCATGGAGCAAACCTGCCCAGTTCCTGTCCTGATAACACAACTGGCGCTCGAAAGGAAACACCTTTAGCTCTGCAGAACAGTTCAGTTGCTGGATGAAAGGTTTGTTTTCTCAGACCAGCTAATCAGTGCTCAAAACCTACCAAAACCACTTGTTTTGTCAACCTCCCTTGGTGCATTCCCTGCCAATGGAGGCAGAGTGAGCAGAGCTGGGCTGAGCAGTCCCTGTGTGCACAGGGAGCACAGAGGGAGGTGATGAGCTGTCCTGTCCCTCCACACTGACCTCAGCACTTCATGTTTGAGTGGAAACCTTGCTGAGCCTTGCTTTAGTTGTTTCGTTCTGCCAATGAGACTTTCTCCTGTGGTTGAAAGAACTAAATTACCCAAACCTGTTACAACCTGAAATGAGTTTGTCAGATTGAGCTAATTCTCTTGTTCTTCCCTCACAGGATTTGACAGGTGGAGCATTTGAAACAAACCTGAACATGCTGAACCTAAAGGAAGGGATGGATTATTATCACTTCAACTAAAACCCAAGGTGAGGCAGTGGGAGCTGTGTCATTCATGTATCTGTGTGCAGGAAGACAAAACAGTTCAGGGGTTTAGGATATTTTCTAAGGGGGTCACACCACAGTTACACCATAGGTAATGCTGTGTGCTTGTTGTACTGTTGCACATCATCAGCTGAACTGTAAAATTGTATTTCTAATTTAAACACCCATCAAACAGTCCATAAGGTTACCAGAGCCTTATCTTTCAAGAATGTTCTAGAAACTTCCATGGCAGTGTAACAGCACTGTGTGGGCTCAGGAGTGTTTTGTCCTGTGGTGTGTGTAGCTGAGAACCATTTGTTTAGCAGTCAGAGCATAACTCAGCAATTGCACCTGCCAGTCCAGGCTGCAGGTACACCCAAGTCTTGAATAGTATAATTTATAGTTACTTTCTTCAAAAACAAACAGAATCTGAGCCAGCCAGGTTGGAGTTTTGGCACTGAACTCCTGTGGTTTGCAGCAGGTACTTCACAGAGAAACCGGTTTGGTTTTAGCTCCTCTGCCTCAATTTTTTCCTTCCTTTCCAATTGAGAGATGTGTACATACACACACACCACCACAGTTGAGGTGTTGGGATAGTGGGATTTAATTAGAGCCATCCAAGAACAGTGTAATTACAGTATTATGCTGCCTGTGCACTTGTGCTCACCATCATGTTTGTCTCACTAAAGATCATTGTTGGAGCCATTTCATTTTGTAGGGAGTAAGAAATGGGCAGGATTCCAGCAGCTGCTTGAAGAATTGATTTACCTCTATTCTTCACAAGCTATTTTGCCACAAAAAACCATTTGCTTGAATTAGTTACATAAAGAGCTGTTAAGAGAAGCTTTGTTAGCTGAAGTGAACCCTGGATTTTTTGCCTGTGACATAGGAATGACAGACTTCACAGGGATACTTGATGCACAGTTTCAGTACCACTAAGCATTGCCATTCTTACCCCTGAAAAACAACTCTTGAAGAGGCCAGTGCAGGGGGCAGGTTTAATACTGGATGTGTGTACAGCAGGCACAGGCTCTGCTCAGTTGTACAAACCATTGACAACAAACCCAACAGGTCAGTGTGACAGAGCACGACAAGAACCTCCCAGATAACAACATTTAAAACCTGAAAACAGAGTGACTGCAGCCTTCCTATGGCACATCTGCCATCAGTCAGTCTCTGCCTCTTCGTGTGTCCCACAGGGCACTGCTCAGCTCCTGCTGAGCTCCAGTGAGTCAGGATGCTGTGGCACAGCCTCCTCCTGCCCAAAGGGCACAGGAACCACGAGCTCTGGGCACAGCCCAGCAGCCAGGGCCTGCAGCCTCCTCATGCTGAGCCCTGCCAGAGAGAAAGGGAAGAGAGAGGTCAGCTGGAGCAGGCCTGTGTCACTGCTGTCCTCACACTTGTGTGATTAGGTAACCTAACTGGAAAAGAAAATAACAAAGCTGCAATATTTGCAGTCTAGCACAAGGGTTTTAACCACCCCTCTAGCAAGTTTTATTTGTACAGGTTTTAAAGGAATGGTAAGTGTTGGTTTCAGCTGAAATTAACTTCATTCACCTTTTTATAGTGCCATGCTTGGTTTCCTCTGTTGCCTCTCCTGCTCTCAGCACATGTGAGGAGCTGTGCACTCATGGCAGCAGCACTGGGGACATCAGGACAGCTGTGACAGGTCCTCACCTTCAGTGGCACTGTCAGCTGCAGCCTGAACTCTGTGCTATAAGTTACACTGACTCTTTGCTTATGTTAAGGGGAGGAAAAGGTAAAGCTCCAAACTGAGCACAAAACCTCCACATTAATACTGTTTGCAGCAGTTCCATCAGAGATACCTGGATATGTATTTGTGTATTTCTTACTGTTTTGTTTCTACCAGAGACAGTCTTCTCTCAGCCTTCAGTATTTAAGGAACTGGAAGAAGTATGCATTCACTTTTGTATCCTACTCCTCCTCTGGGGCAGTGTTGGAATCCTGTGGTTTGCACAACAACTCAGGTCATAATTTTGCTGTTGAAATTGGGAAGTTTTTTGTCTTTTTTCCTTTCCCTAGGATGGGCAGAGGAGCAATGTCTGAGCATCTGTGCTGCATTATCTCCCTGATGCAATGTGTCTGGGTAAGGTCTGGAATGCTTTAGGGCACAGCTTTCAGCCAGGCCATGTACCCTGGAGCTGGCTGAGGCCATCCCTGCTGGTGCCCACTGACATCCCCATGAACAGACCACCCCTCTGGAGCACATTCCTACCTGCACCTTGGACACCAGCTGTGGTTTGGGCACTTTCATCAGGTCGCAGAGGCAGTTACGTCTCTCTCTCACCACAGGCAGTTCAGCTTCCCTGTGGGAGCAAAGGTTTGCCAGTTACTTCACAAAGCCCTCAAGTTGGCCATATCCACACCCTTCTCTAGCAATCCATGTTAGCACTGGATTACAATGTGTGTGTCCTTTCATGTACATCTCAGATTGTGGGGGGTTTTGTTATAAGATCAATGTAACATTTTTGTCCCATCCTAAGCCAGACAGACCACAAACACACCCCAGCTCTGCTACAGGTAACCAGTGGCTACTAAAATGTCCAAGACTATTCTAGGGTTTTATATTAAAAAAATCACCCCCACACTTACTCATAGAGTGAACCAGGTTGGAAAAGACCTCCAAGATCATCCAGTCCAACCCTACCATCATTACTAGCCCATGGCACTAAGTGCCACATCCAGTCTCAGCTTGAAAACCTCCAGGGATGGTGAATCCACCACCTCCCTGGGCAGCCCATACAACTCATACAACCCCTTGAACTCATTCATTTATCCTCTTAAGTTCCTGGAATTGGAGAACACTCTACAATCCCCAGAAGTTTTCTCCTGAAATAGAATATCCAAATTTTAAATTTGTGAGTTTTTTTTAAACTTCCTGAAATTGCATTAAGTGCATGAGAGCATTTCCTCCAGAACTGCCAGTTCCCCAAAGCCCCCAAATTCCCCAAATCCATACACCCAGCATTCTTCTCCTTGTGGCAGGAGCCTGCCCTGGAGCTGGAATGCTGCTGGCATTGCTCACCACTGATTTGGGTTTTCCTAAGTAACAACTGTAAATGAGTGAGTACAAATTTATCTCTTGGCACATGAACAGAGTCCAAAACTACAGAGAAAAAGCAGAAAGGGGAAGTTAGAAATAACCTGAACTGTTTTGTTTTTGTTTTGGTTTACACCTTGAACAATTTGTCTTATTTAATCCTGGAAACCTTCATTTGGCTAAACAAAATGTATTATTTATAGAGTAATTTGTTTAAACTCTGCATGACACATTTGTATGATAAACTCTCTGGAGTTCCAACAAGGAACAAATATGTGTATCCCAGTAATTACCCTCTTCCCCCAAATTAGTTCTCATTTGGTTTCCTGCTGTTAATGCTTAGTGTAATTCAGAATTTAGAATGATTATTTTAGCACTGAGGGAGCTTGAGGATAACAAGCAGCTCACTCTGACACTCAGCAATGACTTCAAATCTCTTCCTCTGTAAACAGCTCAAATCTACCAAGATAAAACAATTAAGTTCTAAGTAAACAAACTCTTTAGCTTTCATCTCAGAGCAATGGCCACACTGCAGTGAGGACCTTAGGGCTTGCTCCAAGCCAGGATGCAGCAGGGAGCCAGGCACCCCCTGCAAAAGGCAAGGTGAAAACAGACTATTGCTCCTGCTGGAGTGGTTTTGGGGAAGGAATTTGCTTTGCTTTAGTAACCCCTTTATAAGCAGAACTGTACTACCACAGCCTTTCCTGCACCACTTGGAACTTGGGTCCTGTAACCATCCCTTGGTGACAGAAGTCACCTCATAGAATAAAATCACAGAATCAGCCAGGTTGGAAAAGACCTCCAAGATCATCGAGTCCAACCCTACCGTGGTCACTAGCCCATGGCACTAAGTGCCACATCCAGTCTCAGCTTGAAAACCTCCAGGGATGGTGAATCCACCACCTCCCTGGGCAGCACATTCCAATGCCTGAGCACTCTCTCCCTAAAAAATCTCTTCCTAATATCCAACCTAACCCTCCCCTGGCAGAGTTTGAGTCTGTGCCCTCTTGTCCTGCTGCTGGTTGCCTGGGAGAAGAGACCAACCCCCCCCTGACTCCAACCTCCTGTCAGGGAGTTGCAGAGGGTGAGAAGGTCTCCCCTGAGCCTCCTCTTCTTCAGTCTCCTCTTCATCCTGCTCAGTGTTTCTGGCAACAAGTTCTTTCTGCAGTTTCTGAGCAAGCCTGTCCTTAAATGCAGATCTCATAAACACTGAACCACACTGAGCACAATCCTAAACCTCCATGTGCAGTTCAACAAGGAATTATAACCACGGGTGAATTGCTGGTAACCAATCCTTCCAATCTGGGACTGGTCTAAATCTGCAGTGGAAAATTCAGGGAGAGGGCAGCAGCCACTCCTCATAATGACAGACTCACTTTTCCCAAATATAAAGTTACTTAAGCTCAGGCACAGAAATAAACAGGAAAGTAAATAAAAGCCCAATAAGGTAACATGCACTCTGCAAATCTGTAACCAGCCTGAAGGTGTGTTTGTTCTTTGAACCCGGCTGGGATAATTTCATTTCCATGAAATGTCAATGAAAGAAAAAAGCCATTAATATAATGACTAAATAAATGATATGTATTTTTACACCTGTCTGTTCTCATGTGTTACCTGACTGCTGTGTGGGGCAGGGTGTGGGCAGCAGCTCCAGGAGAGTCAGCCTTTTAGCTACCTGTCCAGGGGATGACAATGCACAATGCTAAACTCTGCAGAAAGGGAAAAATCCAATGCCAAAATGCTGTTTCCCTGCTCCTTGAGAACAGGACACTGTTCCCTGCCCCTGGAGGAAGCCAATGGTACAGGTAAGAGTAGGTAAAAAATGAATTACATTCTACAAAGTGGGTGTTTAATTCATGCCACAATGTGCCTGGGAAACATCTAAACTGTTCCAATTCCAAATGTTTGCTTGGATACAACGCTTGTAGCATGTTGAGTAATTACATTTCATGGGAGATTTGAGCTGTTCTGCTAATTCTGTTGTTTTCCAGCTTGCAGAGATCCTTCCTTTCCCCAAATCCTGCCAGTGCTCAGAAATGCCAAGAAACTGTCTGTGCAAGTTGAAGTTTGACTATTTGCACAGCCCCAGTCTCTGTTTCATGGAGAACTTCCAAGACTTCCTCCCTTTTTATGTTGTTAGAAAAATATGGGTATTTTACTTGATCGAGTGGTGATTTTATACATCCCACTGCCAGTGGGACAGGAGAATGGGTAGGTCTTTAGGACAGAGGAATTCCTTGCTGCAATGTTTTTCAAGCCTGGAAGCAATGAAGACTCTGAACCTGCAGTATCATTTCTTACACCTTCCTCACCACCAGCTTTAAATGGCTTTGACTTGTCTCAACTTCAGGGGCACAGAAGTTATTTCAGCTCTCACTCCTGTCTGGCACAGCTGCACCTACCAGTTGGTGTCACTGAGGATGGCCATGACCTCGTCCATGATGTCAGGATCCACCACATCACTGTAGGTGATCAGCATTTCATACACCTGACTGGCTGTTGTCTTCCGGATCTGCAGGGAAGCAGAGGCAGCGTTAGGGAAGCAACCAGAGTCCCTAGGGAAGAGCCCAGTGCTGGTGCTGGACTGGTCCCTCCTCCTGGCAGTCATGTTTTGGTGGACACTGAGTCCACTCCTGCCTCTGCCAGAGATTTGCTGCAGAAGGGACCTCATGTCTGCACCTCAGGCAATTCCTGCTCCTACAGTCACTGCATTCTCACTAAGCTCTTGCAGTATTTCCCAGCTGGAAGGCCACAGCTCTGTCTTTCACAGGGAATGAATTCAACTGGCCCAACTGGAACATTCCTGGGACTTACTGGGAGCCATTAGCCTGTTCCAGGGGCAGCATTGCAGATACCAGATCCTTGAGAAACACAACTTGTTCTCTACATCAGTACCTGACAGAAAGAATGCTGCTTTAATGCCCTTGAAATTATTTTTCACTTGTATTTTAAAGAAAGTTGATAACATGCAAAGTCTTCAGTACTTACTATAGGAAAGGGATGGCAGAGGAGGAGAAACAGCTGAAAGAAAACTTTCTCTCTCATGTCTCCTTGGAATTGAATCAGGCCACAAAACCTAAAAAACAAGAAAAAAACCAAACAGATTTGGGGTTATAATTGTACAAGTACACTTTGAGGATCAGGATGAAGCTGAATATTGGGGAAAAGGGCAGGAGGGGAAGCTGTGCTGCCCCAGGAAATCTCAGCTCTGAGTGCTGTGGGAAAGCAAACACTGAGGGTGAGTCCATGGGATCCTGATGGGTGACTGAGCTGCCACAGCCTGTGGAGCTACAAATGTGGGGTTAAAGCTACCAAGCAGCAGCACCAAAGCCTTGCTAAAAACCACCCGTGAACCAAACTCTGAGGCAGACAACAAGGGCAGAGGGAGGGCTGGGCCTGTGGGATGCATGCAAGGGGAGACATGGGCTGTGGCTCATTTCAGGCTGCCCTGCACTCTGAAAGGATTCCCAGGAAAAGAGAGAAATGAAAGTCAATAAAGTCACTGCTTTATGTTGTTACACTGAAGCCATTTCACCAAGTTTCTGCCACTGGACCTGTTTTGTCCTTTTCCCTCCTCTCCTCACCCCCAGCACTGTCCTTCCCAACTGGGACACTTTGGTTTGCCCTCTCTGCTGCCTGACCCCAGTGAGGGATTCACCCTACAGCCACACACTCGTTTTGCAGATGTTTTCAGCTGATCCTAGTGCACATCTAAGAGCTAATCAATGAATCAATATCTGTCACTGGCACTGAGTAAGCTCTCTACAAAGAAAAAGCAAATGCTTCACTACATCTTTAAGAATATCAACATTTTCAAAGTTGTTCAATTTTATCAGACCACATGTTTCACCCCAACCACCCAGAAGTGCATGACACTCTCACCACCTTAGACCACATGTCTTTGTGTGCATTTGTCATTTCAATTCCACAGGAACTAGACCTGTTACATCTGGTAATGTAAATATTCTTCACTTTTTGTAACAAGAAAAAGATTCATTTCATGTACTCACACTCCTATGCTGGAGCGAAGCTTCCGAATGTCTTTGGATCTTTTGATCTCTTCTTTACAGAGGGTAAACAACTTCACTGGAAAGGGATGACTGAAAATGAGAAAGAAAAGAGATGAGCAATAGATTTCAGCAGAATTTCAAAGAGTTCAATGACTGTCAGGATGCCAAACTACCAATCCCAGGCACACAGTGGGGCTGTAGGTGCTTCCTCTCCAGGTCCACACACAGGTGAGTTTGGCCAACGTGACTGAGCCTTTTATTTTTTAACAGCTTAGGGAAGAAATTACTGTTAATTATTGACACTGCTACTACCTGTGTGTTGAGGAGAGAACTCCTTTTAGCCAACTGGGTCCAGTCTGTGCAGGGTAACTGGCTCCCCATGGCTTGTGTTTCCAGCAGAGTGTGGTGTGCTCAGAAACACTGTGTGAGGAATTACAACATCCTATAGCCAAAGAACACTTATTTACTCAGTGCATCATTGTGGTGCCTTGGTCATTCCCTAAGGTCTCCAACCAAACTCTACATAAAAGGGGATGAATGTTGTACTTAACTACTCCACCATTTCACAGCCCAAATTCCTTCAGTGATTCCAGACAACGTAATTAAACCCAGGGCTTACAGTTGGGTTCTGTGCAGGAGCCATGAAACCATCTTTAAATATATTTAGCAAATTCTTTGCTTTTTCCACACAGTCTGGGAAACGTGATTCTCACAGCTCTTTCCCAGACACTCGTACAAACACAAGTACTGTTAGTTATTCCAAGGATCTATTAAAGAGAAGGAAAGAGGGACTAATGCTTTTATTTCACTTCAAATCATTTAATCTTTTACTTGCTACACTCAAGGCTGAAGTGCTATAGATGCAAAAGAAACTATTTCATATTTGTCTAGTGAGCACAATTACTTCTAGGCTGTGTATTTTGGAAACCTCAGGGCATTGTGTATGGAAAGCAGAAAGCAAAAATAGTAACATTCATGTTCTGCTACCACGATTCAAAGCTGGGGAGAAAAACTAAGCAGACCTGTGCTGTCATTTGTGGAAGAGCAGAACACTTCAAATAAACGTTTACAGGACTGCTAAGATGTTTTGTCAAGGTAATGCACCTTGTTCTATAGAGTTTTCCAGACAAGAGTTAGTGGTTTTTTTAATTACTTAAAAAAATTAAACTCCTGGCATGGACTGGGAAATAGTGACTTGGGGAACCAACACTGAACAAACCATAGACCCATCAGGGCACAGAATGTGGCTACTCCTGGTGAGGACAACAGATGATGAGTCTCTGTGTCTGTGGCCATGGATTTGTCTGGGTTGGTGAGGGAAGAGCTCCCTGACTGCTGAGGTATGTTTTGTCTTACCTGGGTGGAATTTCTCCTCCTCCCATTCCCAATTAAACAGAGACCTTGTGTAGACAGCTAATTACAATCCCTGCAGTGCATGCCTGGCTCTCAACACAGACCCAGGCAAGAGAGTGAATTAGGTGAGATTTAAAGCAGTTGAACAACAGAGACATCAGTGAGAGGTGGAGCAACAAAGAGACCAATTGGAACAAGAGCATCTGGAATAAATTTAAATCACAGAACCTCAAGAGCAGCACTTGGGTGTTTAAAACAGATGCACTTTCCTTTCTGTCAGTTGCCAATTCCACATTTGTAATAACCAAACCTAACCTGTGTGATCTCAAATGACTCAAATAGTTTGGCCTCTGTAAAGGAAATTGAGAAAATTCCTTCTCCTGTGTGGGCACTGTGCCAGCAGGAACAGCACCAGCACCTGGGGAAAAGGGACCAAGTCTGAAGTCTTTGCATGATGTCAATTGGGCAGATGTGGCACTGCCAAACAGTGCTGGTTCTCTCTCCTCCAGCTGAGCTGTGTCTCAGCAGTGCAGCTCCCATCCCTGGGGTGTCCATGGAACAGCCACCAGCCCCTGTGAGCTCTGGGCTTTATGGCTTGTTATGCAATAGCAATAGAATTGCTTAAGAAAAATGCACAGGAGGAGCATGTCATACATGGAGATCACTGGGCAGACATCAGTGAGGACACACAGCATCTTCCAGCACTGCCAGACCACCAAAAAAACCCAGACAAAAACACTTCTGTTCAATGTGTAAACTACTTGAGAGAGGGAAACACCACTTACTACCCCAGAAAGCATTAGATCCTGCACTGTCATTCCAAGGCTCTCCTGTTCACCTGGCACTGAGTCTGACACTCCTCTTACTGTGCTGCTAAGGAGCCAACAACCCACTCAGGGTCTGAGCAGCCTCAGCACTTCTGCTCACCCAAGGGAGCAGCAGAGGACATGACCAGACAGTAACACTCCAGTGCCAGATGTGCAGTGGGCTCAGTTTGCTCTCCTTGGCTCTCCCACCACCAGCAGGGAGCTGGCAGGTACCACTGTGCTCTAAGAGTAGCCACTGAAGAGCTGAAAGCAGCTCAGTCTGCACTGCTGGATTTATGCCAGGGCTGTTTCATGGTGTGCCCTTTGCCTCCAGCAGTGCTCATCAATGAACACTCCTACACTGCCCTGAGCTCCACAGACTGTCTGTGGGGTGAAACCAGGAGGTTGTGTGACCTCAGAGAAGCAATGACATCCCAGCTGAGGCTGCAGTTTGGGTGTGAGGGCAGAGGGAACAGCAGGTGAACGATGCTGCAGTGTCAGGAATGCTTCAGCCCAGCTGACACCTGCCCTGCTGCCAGGAGCATTGCTTTGCCCCCAGTTCCTCACCAATTCCCTCCCTGTTTTGGCACCATTTGTGAGCACACAGCAGAACAGATGGAGGAACCACCTCGAGCTGAGTGGGAGAAGGGCACTTTTAACCTGGAACTGTTCTCTAATGCCATTCACCATGTGGTGATACAAACCAAGCCAGAGCTAGGGAGGGAGAACCTCTCATGCTGGGCATGTCACATTAAGGCAGGTAGGAACTGACAGCCTGGAAAATCCAAAGCAATGCTGTTCTTTTCATACTACAGAGCAAACTAAGCCAAGCACAACAGAGGAGCTGGTTCCAAAAGCCTTTTGATGACCCCAGTGACACTAAAGCTGATTCATTTCCAAGCCCACGGGACAGGTATTCACCCCACACTTCCCATCCCTGCTGGCTGGGTCCGCAGGGCCCTGGCACAGCAACAACACACACATGGCAAACCAACCTCACATAAACACAAGCCTTCAAAACAGGATAGTGCAGGAGAAACACCCAGGGCATCACCTGCCCTCCTGCACAGAGATCACAGACCAGTCACACAGAGCTTCCCAGTGCTGAGACTCAGCTGCAAAACTACACCAGAAGTGGCAAGCTTTATATTCTAACCTGCACGAGGCTGTGAGGAGGCAGGAAAATGCCTGTCAATTCGGCCTGTGTGGGGCAGGAGTGACACCCTGTGGCAACGGGAGAGCCGAGCTCCTCCTGAGAGTCTAACTGATCCTGCCAACAGCTCCTAATCCTGGCTAAATTAAGCACTGTTGGATATTACTCACTCTGGACTGCTGATGTTTTATTAGGAAAAACCCCTGAGGGTTCAGGGTAGTGCACAATTTCCATCTGAAACTTCAAAATGCCTTTGCAAATACTTTTTTATGATGTGACAGTTGCCTGGTTTAGGCATAATCCTGATGTCAGACATCCTACACAATTCCCTTGCTGAAACTCCACTCAGTCCAATGTGGTCAAAAATGAGGGAAGGAGATGAAATGGGAGTCAAATTCCCAAGGGAAAAGACAACCATGTACCTCATGCCTCTTATTTCAGGCACACTCTACAAAACTACCTGACACTGCAGGCACACGAGGTCTCTTCATGCCACCACGAGTGTCTCATTTTCTCCCTCATTCTGCACTGCAGTTCTTCATTCTCATGACAGGCTGCTTAGGAAAGGGCATAAATGGCCCCACTCAAGAGGGACCAGACCCAAAGTCACACATTTCTTGGGTGCAAAGAGAAGGGAGTGGCATCCAACAGCACAGGTGGGCAGGCCTTGGAGCCAGGAGTACCCACCCCTAACTGTGTCCAAAGGACATTTGTCAGAGTAACAAAATGCAAACTGCACTAAATGCAATTTTGGGCTCAGCTGTTCCCCCCGGGGCTGGTCCACACAACAGGCTCTGAGAGCACATCAGAGCCCACAGCATCCACCTGGCTCCCCAAGAAGTACCCACAGTAACTCACTCGTGGTCACTTCTGGACCAGGAGGCACCTACACCACCAAAACACTGTCCCATGCAGGAACTGAGCTGTCTTCCAGCTGCCTTCAAACTCTCCTGAGCTCTGCATGATAACGAGTTCTGCACTTCAGGCCAGCACTCCCCTCCCTCACCACCACAGGGACCCACTGGGATGTTTCATTATTAACTTTTTGTTAGGTTTCATCATCAAACTGGAAGCAAATACATCTGGATCAGCTTAGAAATCTTTCCCCCCCACAACCACCTTGGATTTGACTTCAGCCCTTTTACCCAATGCCCCAGGGCTGAGTCTGAGCCTCACACAGCCAAGGCAGTGATGCCACCACATGTCTGTTCAGTGGGACATGGGAGACAAGACTCTACTCTGGGATTTCCACCCATAATCTCTCACCTTCCCCAGCAGGGAAGACTGGAGCCTGTGTGGAAGTCCCAGACCCCTGGGCACGATTACCAAACAAGCAATATTCATTCCATCTGTATCTGACTCATTTTCAACTCCCATTCAAACAAAGCCTGCCAAATGCAATTCAAGAAAGATTATCTAAAACCACACTTCAAGAGTAGACTCGATGCAAACTTTTCGAATGATAAAAGCTATTCAAATTTATCTGCTGTGAGCAACTCTGGAATCAACAGATTCCAAATCCAGTGGATGTGCTTGTAGGATCCACACTGTACAGCTCTGCAAGTCACTGCAGATGTGCCAAGATGCTGCCTGAGAGAGCCTGTGGGATCCATTTTAATATTGCTGAAATTAAAATCACTCTTTTCTGAAACATCTGCAAAGAAACATGATTTCACATTGGAATATCTTACTCATGCTTATCTGCTCCTGAACTAAACACTCTCCAGCAGACTGAGCTCGGGGTGGAAGAGCTGGGACATGCCTTTTTTATTGCTCTTATTAGGATCTTAATTAACTTCTTCAGAGACAGTCACATTAAGCAAAGCAGTGGGACTGGGGCAGTCATAGCTTGTGGGCACACACTGTTCTGCAGCATCACACCAGGGCACTGCCAGTGCTCAAGGCTCCCAGCACAGCAAGGAATGTACTTCAAACAGCACAGATTTAGGAAGCTGGTAAAGGAAAGAATGGATCTGACACTGGTCTAAGTCTTCAAACTGCATTTGACTTATGTCTATCTGTTAAACAATGAACCAGTAACCAACTTCTACACTGACAGGAGTCTCAAAGAGTTTATCAAGAGCCTTTTAGGGCTGCTTGTCCCAGTTGTTCCACTTCAGGAATACTCAAGCAGTACATCCATATACACTCACACCTGGAGCCCTATGCACCCATACCTAGATCAACACCCAGCAGCACTCAGGGTAAGATTTAAGAGACCTGTTGCATGGTAGAAAATAAACCAAAAAGACTTGCAGCAACTTACTTCTCTTGCTCAGTGAATAGATCAAAACAGCCATTTGCCAGCAGCTGGTCCAGCATCGTCAGCAGAGGGACAGACACCCTGAGCAAAGAAAATGAGTCAGCAATGCAAATACATTTTTGGCATACATATACATACTATTTTTACTGGGAAACAAAGAAAGAACCTTCCTATGTCCCTACACATACTGCAATGAGAACTGATGTACACAGAGTTGGGTTGCTCAGTGACTTGTGTGTGCTGCT